GGTGCGCTGCTGTCTCTGCGCAGGATCGTAAAGAAAGTCCTTCGTTGTCCTTGGAACTTATTAAAGTCACTCCATATATCACTGGTCCTGTCGATTCTCCTCTACGGTGCCGAGCCGTGTGCCATGTCGGTCCACTCCAACCGCCTACAAGATCCATAGACTCTTTCTGAAGTGCATCATACGCCTTCCGAACTCTACATCTTCAATCGGGTTACAACTTTTTTCAGTCGAACAATCGGTAAAGGAACTCGGAATACGCAGGATTTTGTGGTATTGGCATCGCATCTCTCAATTATCAGATGATCTTACAATAATAATAAAAATTTTCCTGCAGCAGAGAGTGTGGCCACTATCCAGAGTTGATTGATTGCTCGATAGAATTCGCATGCTGCTGATCGAAATCGGCACGTCGTATGTTTGGATCTGCCCGATCGTTACGTGTTACGAACGATCCAGCTGACGATAACGCAAACGGGCCTTAGTTAGCGCCAGGAATATCTAGTTTTAGGTCTCGATATTTCTTGGTTTGTTTCGAGCCATCAAATTCTCTCATTGAAAGTTTTGTCACTACATTCCTCAGTAAATTGTTTAATTTTTTTTCTCGGAACCTGGCTAATGGTGCCGTCAGGGGTGTCATGTGTCCCTTTTGCAGTCGGCCGGAGGATGAATGGCACGTTTTTTGTTTTCTTTATGAGAAATTGAGGAAAAATCACTCAGCCTCGCGGACAGAAATTATGGATAGAGAGGAGTTGGTGGCCCTGGAGGTTTTCATGTCCCAGGTCCCAAGAATGGTAAGCGTTATAAGAAGAATTCCAAGGTATTATTAGTGAGTATAATCAGTAAATTATATTTCTGTAATGGTATACATATTGTAGCATATTATGTAGCGTATATGATGGTGTGCAGCCTAAGCTTTTGGCGGCTGTGAAGCGATTTAATATATTGGATTGAATTCATCCTCACGATCCCGAGGTTAAGATCGACTGATAGGGCTCCCTTACTCCCCGGCTCCCTTACTCGTGGGGAGTAAGGGAGCGCAAATGAGTGGGTGGAACGTGCTAAATTTAGGTGCGGTATGCGCTTTTCTAGGAATGCGCGAAAGTAGCTCTGACATGCGCCGCAGATTTAAAATTCGCAATATGGCTTCGTGAAACCGGGAAATTCGCTTCGTTCTTGAGAAACTTCGAAACTGGAACTGGGGAAAAAAATTCGTAAAAAGGAAAATAAAGTTCGATAGAAGTTCGTTTTATCGAGCGTCGACTGTTATTCATCGACGCATTTGGCATATATCACAATTTTCTTTTTTTTTTAACTGAAAGTACTGTTTCACAGACATTGTAAGTACACAATATGAACGCTGGTATGATTTATAAAAATGAACTCATTTAATTTTTTTAAATCCAGAAAATTACAATTTTAGAATACAATCGAATGACTTGAATTCACTGCCAAATACCAATTTCTCTGTACCAGTTTCCAAAAGTTCTGGAGTAATACAGTATTAATGAATACGCCCAATAAAACAAAATTTAAGCAAAGAACAGTATTTTAATCTATTAATCTATTATTATTAATCTATTAACTAGTTTGTTCCAAGTCTTAAGTCCCAATGATGTAAAATACAACGCAGTCGGTGTTAGGAACTTTTGGTAAGGTGCCTTTAATAATTGTTAAATCAAGTTTATTTTCCTTGCCTTCACTGCCGCAAACTGATTGATTACATAAATGGTGAATATAAATCTACAGGGATGTTTGACGTTTGTTGTTACGCTTTCCATACTTTAGTACTTAATTTATTGATCCATCTTGAGCCTTGCAGAAGCCACACAACTTTTATATTAAGATGCGTTCAAATTTCGTTAATTAGTATCCTAACACTAGATCTGTTAGTAATGGGGAACTTCGAGAATCTATCAAAACAGATGACATCTCACCCCATGCCAAAATTAAATTTATTTTTAGGCTTTTAGTGCCTTTAATGTAAAAGTTGTACAACTTAAAAAATTAAATTTATTTACTGTCTTTGTTAATTAATTATTTCAATTCAATTAATAATTAACAATAACCATAAGAAAGATGGTAAATAAATTTAATCAAAAATTTTCATAGATCGTGAAAATGTTGAAAACGCTGAGATGTAAACCGGAAATACAAATTGCAAATATAGACTGCATCACTGTGAAAGTTGCTAAAAGTAGATGGATATATGTACCGATGTGGTTGAGAGTCGAAAACTACATTATTATTCATACATTATTTTAAATTATGAGTATTATTAATCATTAATGCCGTTCACAACCTAGAAGCCCTCCAAATAAAATCCAAGCAAAACCGTAATATTCGATCCCTGACTTTGCGTCCCCCTCAGCTCTGCCCCCGTAGGCAAGTGTCCCCCCCTGCCCCCCTCCTGCCCCCCCCCCCTGCCCCCCTCGCTACGCCACTGGTGCACGGGATCCGATCCCTGCAGTCCTGATAAGGAAGATGCTTTTCCTTGGGACATCTCGGTCCCGTGGGTCCCGTTCGATGCGGGAGATTGCAGCTAAGGGAAAGTCGGGCGGGCATCGCTGCGTTCGACTCCCATTCCCGCGGGGCCGATGTGTTCTCTGGCTTATCGGTGAGGCCCGCCGATTCTCCGTCGTCTGAGTCTCCAGTCTGTGTTCTCTGCGGGTTCCTTCTCTGTTACTTCGGATGTGCGTGAGGATCTCGTGGAGGTGAGGATCTCGTGGAGGTGAGGATCTCACGCGGGCGCTCACCGGTGAGAAACGTCTCGTATCTGCCTCTTAGCCAAGTGCGATCTGGAAATTTTTTATTTTAAGATTATTTATGTGGAAAAGGTGATTAGCAGTTGCCGCGAGGGAGTGTAAAGCTCGCCTGGAAAAATCTGAGATTTCAAGTCGCATATCCTGTTTTTTTCGGTCTGAAGTCCTTTAATTGACGGCTTGAAGGTCAATCGATTGATCGTCGAATGTATTTCGCGGTCTATTTGGTGCATCGCAGAGTGGGAAAATGGTCGTATTTTCCTCGCCAAAACCCAGATAACCTAGTTATTGCGCAATTTCGGTACAGTAACCTCTTCTATTCCTAATGAACAAAACTCCAACTACTTAATTAATTTTTAAAATGATAAGGTTTTAATGTTTAATTCAGAGCTGCGAAATTCAATTTAAAAATACGTTAAGCGACTTGATTAGTCCAGCCACCTCGGAAGAATAAAAGATGGCTCATGATGAATAATTTTTTTTACATTAAATTAGCAAATTTCTACAATGAATTTACGTCGATGTGGCGGATAACGCTGCGATTGAAAAGGTGGAATTTTCGCGAATTCGCCCTGCGCGTCGGCAAGAAAGTTAGAAAAATAAATTAGGTGCAAGAACGGAGAGAAAGAAGTTATTAGAAACGACATCGTCGGAAAATATATTTAATGCCGACCGTCGGCCGCACGGGTTCCAAAGCAGCCGAGCCTCCGAATGCGACACGAAGAAACGAGATCACGTGACCCCGTCACGTGACGAAATGCGATATCGCCTTTCGGGTCTATTTTCGCAAGCGTGTCTCGGAATGAGGGTGAATGAAAGGCGGCGATGATGGCTTGGGTATGGTTCATTTTGCGGGGATTCCAGTGCATGACACCCTCGAGGTGAGGAATACTGAGATCTGGGATGGGAAGTCCCGAAACCGGATGTCCCAATCCTGGAAGTCCCGAAACTGGAAGTCCCGAAAATGCCGTCAGGTTTCGGCAGTGTTACCGATAGACTCGAATGACGTCACGTGACACGGATGAGACTCATTGAGACTCGTTTCGACGGAACTCCGCCTCGGATGTTCCGCATCTCGATGCCGAGGATGTCGAGGATGTTGAGGATGTTCATGATGTTCATGAGCGGGATCCAGTCGGTTCAGACGGAATCCTCGTCGTCCTCGTTCCTCGTCAGTCCCCCACCGATGGAGACCCGAGTCGCCATGACGGGGCTGCATGTCCCGAATTCGAGGCCCGGTCCGCTGCAGGTCCCGTATTCGAGGCCCGTTCCACTGGTCCCGCAGTCCACGTCGGGATCGTCCGTCTTGTAGTCCAGTCCCGGGCCGTCCGTCCCGAATTTCATCGTCTCGCTCGGCCTCGAATCGTGTAGAGTGCAGAGAATGACCGGGTTGGACGCCGGGTCCTGCCCTTTCCCGCAGCAGCAGCAGTGACACAGACGCAGTTTTCGCTGCAGACGCCGGCACCCGAGCCACGCGAACCGGCGCCGGAACGCGCGCCGGAAGTTCTTGGACATCGCGGAGTAGATGAACGGGTTGGAGCAGGCGTGAAGAAACGGCAGGAGGAACACGAACACCCGCGCCGAATACACGGCCGGAGAATAGAAATTCTGCACGTCCAGCTTGGCTATCACGCCCCAGATCAGCCGGGGTCCCCAGCAGATCATGAACAGGATCACGACCAGGATCAGCATCTTGATCACCTTGAGATTAGAAACAGATAATCGCAGGGGCCAAAAGAGATCTCTCACAAAAAACGGATTTTTTAAAAATATTTCTTGCGAAGTTATTCGAGCGTGCCCGATATGTTCCTTTTTATTCTTTTCTATGAGAATTTTTCAAAAATTATGCTCAACTTCTCTCCGTACGATCAAGTACAATTCAAATGAAAATGATTTGAAAAGACGCAAAAGGTTAAATCTCTCTGGCTGAGCGCGAACGTAACCCTCCACGCAGCGGCGGATACAGAAATTTTTCATAGGGGGGGCTGTTCCCAAATTTCTACCTACCCCTCCCCCCCCCCTTCCACCATTCCTCGTCCTTTCGCCTTCTTTATTTTTTCGTCTGGGGGATGAACTTGAGTATCTATTTCATTGGCTCCAATAAAGTTTAATGCAGATGCTAATTTGAATAAATAAATCAAATGCGAACCATAGGGGGCAGTTCCCCCCTCCGCCCCCCCCGCCCCCCCCCCGCCCCCCTGTATCCGTCACTGGCTACAGTGATGAAGTTCATAAATTGCATCCTTTTTGCAAAAGTAAATTTTATTCTCAACAACTTTCTGTGTGATGTTTCCTGAAGATCTTTCAGGATTTTTGCTGGTCTTCCTCAGTGTTTTTCCAGACCATGCATTACGTGAGAACGGTTTAATACAGCTCGTGCTCCGATATTATCTTCCTTGTCCAAAACATCTCAGAGAATGAAAGTTTTTTTTATATCTCGTTTTTCCAGGCTAAAAATGGTGCCAATTTTAATAGCGACCGACGAATCTTCATTTCAATTGGCCAGCAGGAAAGGGAAACAGATACTTTGCAGAAAATTTGCAAAGCGTGCCAACAATCAATATATCCATTTGCTCCGCACAGGTTTAAACAGCTGCCTGTCGGTCGGCGATTCCCGAATTTAAAGGGATAAATTTTCATTTCGATTTATTTTTGCCGATTTCGTCGTCCTCGTCAGAATCTTCGTCTTCGCTTCGGTTGTCGTGCAGCTTTTTCTGAAAAGAATAAGAAATAAAACCTCTCACGGTCTGAAGCATTTCTGAGAAATAGTACTAAAAAAAAAAGTCCATCAGATGTGAGAGACCTTTCTGAAGACCATGCCGTAGATGACTCGGAGCAGTAAGTAAGTCCAGTAGAGATGCAGAAGGAACAGGGACCAGAGCAGCACGACAAGGGAGACGCTGGCGAAGTAGAAGTAATCGAAGTGGAGGATGGCTTTGGTGGCCCTGTCGTGGGGGAGAGTCGGTCATCGAGAGGACCCGGCTGTCGTGCGGCGGTGAGGGATGGAGGACTCACGGGATGTTAACGTAGAGGGGGAAGTAGATGACTCTGGTGAGGATCCAAGTTGCAGTGAAGGCGAGGAAGACTTTGAAGACGGTGGCGTCTGGGTCTGGTCCTTTAAAGAATTTCAACAGCTTGCCACACTGAGGACAGGTATTATTCCCACTTATTTAGGAAGAATGACTGCGCATCACCTGCTATGTAGTACACAAGTTAGGGAGTGGCGTACTTTGCAAAAACCAGAAGAGAAAATTAGACAAGTTTTCACATTTCCGGTTTCCTTGGAAATTTATCTGTCGAGGAGACACGCAGGATCATAAATACTAGGATTACTTAAGAAAAAAAACCGCTTGGTGGTGTATTGAATGGACGATTGCCAGACCTGGAGGATGACATCGGCGCAATCGTGGACCAACAGTACGATGGAGCCGATTCGGATTGTGCCGGCTGTCCAGGATCCCATCATGAGGCCGATGGTGACCACGTGGTGGGTTAACTGTGCCAGGAAGTCGCTGTTCTTCACGTCGAAAGGTAGCATCAGTGTCTGGGTTATGTGGAATCCAAGCTCTAGCATGTAATACCACCATATGTCCCACGGCACGGGCTAAATTAGAATCGATGGAATTGATAACGAATCGTTCTCCATAATTACCTTAGTAATAATTTTCATTGCTACTTGAAAGTATCATGACAAAGCACCAAATACCGTTAGCCTGTTGATTAAAATCGTCTCTTTTGAAACCAGTGAATGAAAACCACACCGTGCTAAGCAGACAGATATGAAGGTGCAAGTCTCTCCGGTGCCTTTCATGTGAAAGTGATATTTATTATATACATATTATAAGTCCATGCACTCGGGGTATTAATAGGGAGGGAAATTCATGCCTTCCTTCACCCCAGGAACTTTTCGTTCTAACAATATCCTTCATGACAGCGAAGATCAAGCTAGCTTAGTTAAAAAATTCAAGAGGAACCTCCAAAATTTGGCCCCTAAAACATTGCGAAAAAGGCAGGTTACTGCAAATATGTTTTTGCACATACGTGTGGGGGGTTCCAGAAGCACAAATCCGTGTTCCTCAGCCAGGGCTTGTCTGCCATCGTCCACACTCCGAATAAAAAGACGATGCTGTGCGCGACTGATCTATACCTGCGGAAGGAATTTCACAGAGGTCTTAATAAAGCAACGATTATACAAATATTGGATGCCGAATGGATGCATTATCCATTGTTCAATCAGAATGGACTAACCGTAATGGATGACATTACAAATCCCTACATTGACAGGAAACCGTAGAATTCCTCCCACGCATTCCGATTGACAGGGATCATGAGATGTGATTCTATCTTTGACCAACTCACGGTTGAAGCGAGAGTGCACAGGGGGCGACATGCTTGACCGATATCGGTCCTCAACCTTTGGAAAGGAGAGGGAGGTCAACTCGTATGCCCAAAGGATCCTCCTAAAATTTTTCGAAATTTTGGACTTTGATTTTGAATGGGGAATTGCACGTGGAATCGCGGCTGGTCGTGCTGGAGACTGGGGGTGCCAGGGTAGAGAAGAAAAATTATCCTGGGACAGCGAGGCTCGGATTCACAGACTCCAGAATCTATTTACCTATTTCGGATAAATGGAATTGATCGAAATGTGACAGCCCTGTGGTGACATTCGGTTAGATCATTTGTTCTCTCGGAAGCAGTTCGTTCGGATGCAATTTTCTTTCTAGCTGTACGACCTAATTTGAGTATTTTACACCATCATCAATTGACAAAATCAATCAAAATATCAATTGATTGCTACGTACTCATGGATCAATCCTCTTCAAGTCACTCTCAGTATCCGTCTCACATAGCGTGGGAAAATGAAACTGAGAGTCAACCTTACCTCCCCTTTCAAAAGGTTGAGGCAGACGAATTCATCAGTCAAGAAAACCAAAATTTTGAAAGTCGTCCAGGTGCACTCTCGCCACCATTCATCGAGATGAGATAAACGAGAACATTAGTACATTTAACATTTAACATTAGAACATTTTAGTAATTATCTATCAATTAGGTCTCGGGGGTGGAAGTCAACGGAGGAGAAATTCGAAGACACCATTACAAGTTCCTCATGACCTAAATGTCGGTTCAAAAGCATAACTAAAGACTTTTTTTTTATACCAGGGCAGCTTGTAGAAACTTTGCAGAGTAGGGTCCAGTTTGATATATGAAAAGGGAATTTTAGCAGACAGATCTATCCTTGCATTTCGTTCCATAAGTTTTTCGACTTTGAACAAGTCCTCACCAAAGAACGATCGTATGCGACACAAAGATTGATTAATTACTTATTAATTATTAATATTTTAAATATTAATTAATTATTCATCCTTATGAGCAGAGTGCATGTATGATTTTTTCAAGCATTAATTGATTTAATTAATTGGAAAGGAGGTTTCAATTTGGTCTGACTCACCCGGTCTCCCTAATTTTTCTGATTTCAAGTTGTTCCTTCACACTCCTTAAGCTCCCCTTTTCCCTCTCGATCCATTTTCTGCCTGCGTTTAGAGACCCATTGCCCTGTGGGACCAACAAATGCGTGAATAAATCACTGCTCAAAGCCTGTGGAGAAGGCAGATGTAAATCGAAAAATTTGAATGAAGTCATTTGAATGTTATTAAGTTCTTCGTCCTTCGTCCTAAAGAATTTTAAAAAATTCATTGTTTCCTTCTTGGGATTAGCTCTTCTAAACGTCAATGTTCTAAACGTCTTCAATGTATTTTTTTTTACATCGGCCTTCTTTACATTATCATTTCCTGGCATCCAGTCCATGCACAGAAATCTCATTATCTTCATTATTTACAACTCACCATGTATTCCTTCCCCATACCCACCTTAGATTGCTGGCAGGGGCCGACAGTGCTGACACTTTGTACTTCTGCTCTTGCCAGGGGTTCCATGATGAGCCTGCATGAGTTATGAAAAAGGGACGCTAAACAGGCGAAATCGAGAGGAAAAAAGACGATAGTCAAGGAATAGGCAACGCACATGTCAAAGATGATCCGAAAGAGGAGGAAGGAGATGGAGAATGGGAAGGCATAGAGCAGATCCTGGAATTCCGGCATCGGCCTTCCCGGCTTGGACTTCATGTCTTCCCATGTCACATTCCCTGGTAACCAAATATTCGCATTCCATATGTTGAGTCTGAGCGTCTCCAATTTCTCCATCGGATCCCTGCTGGTCTTCCCCTTTATTTCAATAAAGAGAACTCTATAGGCCTTTCTTGTGGCAGCATCATAAATACGTTTTATAAGGAAACTCGCGGGTTGAGGTGTTTTATTTATATTA